ACACACACACACACACACACACATTTGTAGAGAATATTCTGTATTCTAATTCTGTAAAAAACAACAAAATCACTCACTTATTTATACATTTTTGTTAATTTATTTGGGTACATTCATTTACTATAAAAATACTGTGATTTGAGTGTTAACACTTAATATAAGTGAAAACCTTTAACATACTGTTTTACCAATATTGTTATATGAGAAATTTGTCTTTATGAATGTTTTAACAAAGATACTCACTTGACAAACTCACCTTTTCTTCTCGCAAACGAAACGAAGGCTGCGTTCCAATCGGCATGATTAATGCTTTCAGAGGGCACTTCGAAGGGAGAATAATTTCGAGGGCCACGCTGCTATATAGTTTCAAACTGAATTTGTAATAAAAAAAATATTTAAAGGCGAATTAGGTAAGACCTAAGCACCACAACTTTAACTCTTCCAAATCATTTAAAGTGGATGGTGAAATCTTCGAAAGGAATAGGGCATAGGGTCGATAACTCTGAAGAGAACACACCCCAAACTAACAACGACCTATGCCTCTAACCACAGGTGAAGAGCTGTCGTTCCAATGACACAAGTTTGCGAATGTTCGTTTGAACTATGGTTTCGGGAAACACCGAATCGTTGAACTATGTTGGTAACGACGGAACTTGCGACCATAGTTGGCTAACGATGCTTTTGGGAAACGCACCCCAGATCGAGAGAACAATTAAGACCAATTATTTTTTTTTTTTCAGCATGGCAAGCATTTGTTAATATGGTCTAGGTCAGTCTGCTCTCTGTTTCTCGACATGCTTTGCTGTATAACCTGCTTTCACAATACTGATGAATTTTCTTTTTTTTTTTGGATAAATAGTTTTTGCTGTTTGAAATTATTTGTTGTTAATGGTTAAAAAGGCATGAAAAAATTAGTCTTCTATCTTCTATCTTTGTGTGGCCTAAAATTAGTTTTGGGAGATTTGATTAAGTAAATGAATGAATATTGATAAATAATTCAAAGACCATAAAAATAAATAGTCTGAATAACAAAATCTAAACAAACAAACAAACTGTGATCATAGTTTGAATCTATTGTTTGAAAGTGCTCTGATTATTTGAAAAACTTGAGTTTCCTTTCGTTCACTTCAGCAGGCAACTGATTGGACAAAATAAATGAAGTTTTATCATATTTGCAGGTGACAAAATTAAATATGGCTAAACAATTTAATCACATTTTTTTTTCTAAGAAACCTTTTATTGTTTTTAGAACACATGCAGTGCACATACTGCTTTGCTTAGTGAGAAAAGTCCTACAAATTACGTTTCAAGCTTTTAACACTTGCCTTGATTTTTGATGATATTGTCGTTATCCTTATAAATCTATGTTAAAATAAAATTCCAGATTGATTGAAAACAGACTGTTGTTTGATGAGCTGAGACACAATCGAGCAATTTATGAATTTATTCAAGTTAAATTTGTGTTAAAAGTTATTAAACATATATAAAAACATCAATGAAACATCACTTGATGTTTGTCATGTGATCCGAGAGGCATCTATGACCTATGGATTCATACAGCTACATGTAATTAATAGGTAAACATTCTTATATAATTCTAAACTTTTTAGAACTTTTATTATTGTTGTTGTTATTATTATTATTATAATTATGACGCGGAGTAACCAAAGTCGACAGAGTCCAAAGTTCTTCAGAGTTGTGCTGATAACAGGCACTCAGGCAGTGTGTAAACACGCTGTACCTGCGCGTCAGTCAATATGGCCCGGGACAGCTCATTTGCATAAAGGCCCCGAGCAGCCGCCCACTCATTACCATATTTTATATCGCCTGCCCTCTGGAAGCATCATGGCAAGTTAGCCTACATCGTTCAGTCCGACAGGGAAGTGGCCTAACTTCTCAGAGCAGGTGTCTTCGGAGGAGCTCACTGGAGGCGTGAGGAGGGGAAATTTCACATACTGCATGTCCATCTTTATACCGCCTTGCGTACTAAACATTTAGATGTTTGCAAAAATGGTTTCTAAGTTGACATCTCTGCAACAGGAGCTTCTGAGCGCCTTGTTGGACTCTGGAGTTACTAAAGATGTGCTTCTGCAAGCGTTGGAAGACCTGGACCCGAGTCCGAGCGCTTTTGGAGTTAAACTGGACAGTCTGCAGATGTCCCCCTCCGGGTCCAAGCTCAGTGATACGGATTCAAAGCCGGTGTTTCACACGCTGACCAATGGACACGGTAAAGGGAAGTTATCAGGGGATGAGGGCTCAGAGGACGGGGCTGATTTCGATACACCGCCGATACTGAAAGAGCTGCAGTCTCAAAACACAGAGGAAGCAGCGGAGCAGAGGGCAGAAATCGAGCGAATGTTGGCGTAAGTGTCTGCTTCTGCTATCATCGCTTGCTTTATATACAAGTTAAAGAGACAAAAGTGGCTACGATCAGCTGAACTGACATTTAGGCTATACTGTAATGGAGTTAAAGGCCGACTGTTACTGTGAAGTTAACGCCGTTTGACAGGCAGCTACTTTTGTCATTAGGATTAGCCTGAATACAGAACGCTTATTAATTCTATATGCACAAACATCTTTATGAAAAGTCTGCATTCACCAAAAAATGTGCTAATATAAAAACTAACGCTGTACTGTAAAAATCAATCCACTAATATAGAACCGTTTAAATGCTGCCATCGAAAATATAATTTTCAATTTAATCACTGATCGAAGTTTTAAAAAACCCTTAACGTTTGCTATAAATGGCAGAAATGAGTGTGACAGGTTAAATGGATAGAATCAAAGTTATAGTAATATTACTGAGAACAGCGTAGGCTATAACATTTGCCTGAAATCACAGAAACGAAATTCAGTGACGATTTTTCTGAAAAGATCAATCTACCGGTGTTTACACATTTTAAAGCACGCGCCAGTGTTTCCTCTTTTCACATTCTGGTTACTAATTATCTACGTGAGTTATTTCTTTAGCTTAGAGATATATGAACTAAAGAAGATCTATTTATTATTAACCACCTCTGCCCTCTCGAAAGAAAATAAAAACACGCGCACTGTTGTCTGATTTCAGAGTCGTTTAAAAGTTGTTCGTAGAACAGCTAATTGCATTTATTTTAGGCCACGTAAAATTATTCGTGATCATTTCTGAACTATCATTATTACTATTATTTGTCACTATACTTATTTTAAAATAGCTTATTTAAAAACAAGTTGCAAAAATATCACACCGACTAGCCTATAAATGAAAGTCTAACTGCATTTTTATATTAGGCTACTATTTTTATAATTCAGCATATTTCTATAATCTTTACAGCAGTATTAACGTCACGAAATAACGATGAAAATCTAATGCACGTGGAGTTGAGTTATTAATTTGATAAATCATCAACTGAAAGACACACAGTGACGAATGATTAGCGTGAATGGAGATCTAGTTATTCATTGTCGAAAGTTATAAAGTTCGCTAACAGACATATGTCTTGTCAGTCTCCAAATCAAATCGTCTGGACAGATTTCAGGGGCAGACGTTTAACCTAAAAAATGGTAAGACCTAATTTCGTTTTAATGTAGGCCTACCTTAATAGCCATAGCCTACCTTACTTGCTCGCTTTTCTTCGTTTTATTAGGCTGTACATTTTTTAAGTCTGTTTTTTTTAACTTAGCTAATACTAAACATTACACCGCTTTTAATTTTTATAATTAGTAATATAATTAGTAGGCCTAATAGACAATTATTTTTGTTGAATTAACAATCTTAACAACTGCACTCAGATGTTTCCGTGTAATTCTTTCTTTCCTATATGTAT